AGATGCAAATTCATTTACATACAAGAAGTCATCTACTACCTGGATTGACCGGTACAAGAATTCGTCTACTACCTGGATTGACCGGTAAAAGAATTCGTCTACTACCTGGATTGACCGGTACAAGAATTCGTCTACTACCTGGACCCCTAAAAGTAATGAAGATGTAACACTCCCTAACGAGATTTTTAATAACATACCTGAAATCGTCAGGAGGGTAATGAAAAATACTTAAATCAATGAAATATGGAAATTATCCAAGAGGTTGTGAATCTGAAATAATTTTAGATAACATAACGTAAAAGAAAGCCAACGCCATTTCACTTACATGTAGGTAGGGCGATGAACTTCCACCAGATATAGCCTCACAACGGAGAAAACGGCTTCTGAGTTACTCTACTCGACAACGCCATTAAACAGGTAAAATTGCCAGAGATTTTACGTGAATGATGGCAAATATTACCCACTGGTTTTAGAAGAATTCACAATGCCACGCTCTACAAGTACAACCTCGTTGGCTTTTAAAACGGAAATGAAGTGAAAAAATTACGCGATTCTGCGCGAGGAAAGAAGCACGCGTACAAGTGACGCCATCTCACCTATATCCTGCCTAACGTAGCAAGCGGTAATTTTGAAATTTGAATATAAATAAACTAAACTGTTACAAGTGGGGACCAAGAAAGTAATTTTGTCTCCCATGAGCAATTCTAACGGTTGACACTTGGGGGTCCGTGAAGTGAGCTGACCATGAAAAGCACAAACAACGGATTTAGGTTTAATCGTTTGTGCTTCGTTTGTGCTCGTTTGTGCCGTATAAAGTAAGTCAGCAAAACCAACCATTCAAAAATTATGGACAATTCAAAATGGTCAGCTGAATTCACGCACGAAATTAAAGCACAAACGACGGGTTTAATTGCAATCGTTTGTGCTTCGTTTGTGCCGTATAACAAAAGTCAGCAAAACCAACCATACAAAAATTATGGGCAATTAAAAATGGTCAGCTGACTTCACGCACGAAATTAAAGCACAAACGACGGGTTTAATTGCAATCGTTTGTGCTTCATTTGTGCTCGTTTGTGCCGCATAAAGTAAGTCAGCAAAACCAACCATACAAAAATTATGGGCAATTCAAAATGTCAGCTGACTTCACGCACGAAATTAAAGCACAAACGACGGGTTTAATTGCAATCGTTTGTGCTTCGTTTGTGCTCGTTTGTGCCGTATAAAGTAAGTCAGCAAAACCAACCATACAAAAATTATGGGCAGGCAATTCAAAATGGTCAGCTGACTTCACGCATGAAATTAAAGCACAAACGACGGGTTTAATTGCAATCGTTTGTGCTTCGTTTGTGCTCGTTTGTTGCCGTATAAAGTAAGTCAGCAAAACCAACCATTCAAAAATTATGGACAAAAAAAATGGTCAGCTGACTTCACGCACGAAATTAAAGCACAAACGACGGGTTTAATTGCAATAGTTTGTGCTTCGTTTGTGCTCGTTTGTGCCGTATAACAAAAGTCAGCAAAACCAACCATACAAAAATTATGGACAATTCAAAATGGTCAGCTGACTTCACGCACGAAATTAAAGCACAAACGACGGGTTTAATTGCAATCGTTTGTGCTTCGTTTGTGCTCGTTTGTACCGTATAACAAAAGTCAGCAAAACCAACCATACAAAAATTATGGGCAATTCAAAATGGTCAGCTGACTTCACGCACGAAATTAAAGCACAATCGACGGGTTTAATTGCAATCGTTTGTGCTTCGTTTGTGCTCGTTTGTGCCGTATAAAGTAAGTCAGCAAAACCAACCATTCAAAAATTATGGACAATTCAAAATGGTCAGCTGACTTCACGCACGAAATTAAAGCACAAACGACGGGTTTAATCGCAATCGTTTGTGCTTCGTTTGTGCTCGTTTGTACCGTATAACAAAAGTCAGCAAAACCAACCCTTCAAAAATTATGGGCAATTCAAAATGGTCAGCTGACTTCACGCACGAAATTAAAGCACAAACGACGGGTTCAATTGCAATCGTTGTGCTTCGTTTTTGCTCGTTTGTGCCGTATAACAAAAGTCAGCAAAACCAACCATACAAAAATTATGGGCAATTCAAAATGGTCAGCTGACTTCACGCACGAAATTAAAGCACAAACGAGGGGTTTAATTGCAATCGTTTGTGCTTCGTTTGTGCTCGTTTGTGCCGTATAACAAAAGTCAGCAAAACCAACTATACAAAAATTATGGGCAATTCAAAATGGTCAGCTGACTTCACGGACGAAAATCAAAGCGCAAACGGGGGCTTCAGGTTCAATTGTTTGAGTTTAGTTTTTGCCGGTATGTCCGATATAATAAGTCTTTAAGAGAACCAGTAATACCTACACAATTATAGATATAATGCATGCACAAAATTGCAGAACACCTAACATAAGATGCACGAATTCAAACAGCTGTAGATTTAACCATAGTGTAAAGACTTACTTATTTAACGTATCTAAGTAATTGTACATAATATGTAACTGTATGTAAAGTTTTATGAAGAAATACATTCAAATTTACACATATCATGTAATGCTAATATTTTACAAAACAAAACAATATTTTCCTTTTCCATTAAATAGTGTTAACGATTTATAGGAGTGTAGGTAATAAGAAGTCCTATTTGGGGTTATGCTTATATTTTCCAAAGGCTGTGCTAAAATGTTCTAATTATTACGATTCTGATAGAGATTTATAATATACGTACCGTCAAATAGTTAAAGTTAATAAGTTGAAACAATACTGCTAAAATTGTTTAAATTTTTAAACTTATTTAATATATAGTCACAATTTACTGCTAGTCATATATCTTAATCTTTTCATTTCAGACTTTTACTACATTAGATATGCCAAAATTTTACCACTATTGTTTCAACTTATTAGCTTTAACTATTTGACGGTACTTATATTATAAATCTATAAAACATTTTACCACACCCTGATGATGGCCATAGGCCGAAATCGGTAGCTTTAGAAAATATAATCATAACGCCAAGTTTGATTTCTTATTACCTACACTACACTCCTATAATAAGGAAATAAATTCAAAAAAATATGGAAAACTTTATAAAGAAGAGATGTTAACGATTTCCGACTTAAGGTGGCGCTTACAAAAAGTACAAAAGTACACTTTCGATTTCCTCAATAACAAATTTGTAGAATCGGAGTTCGTGAATTGTCAATGTAGGTAAAAAAAAATAAAGAAGACCCTTTTGACATCTCCGTTAGTTATTTTATTTATTTATTTATTTTATTTATTGTCCCTCTTGTTCTAGGCCCTCAACAGGCTTACGCCCAATTACAGAGTGACCCGCATAATGCTTTTTAGAGGTGCCCCTGCAGAAGGTCTTAAGTTTTACGAACCGAATTGCATGAAATTCAGTAATTATGCGCATGGATTTAGCCATATAAAACGCAATTCCAAAAGTTGAGCCTAATCGATCAGCATTCACAGTGCCCTTTGCGCATCTCGACCATTTACAAACCGAATTGCAAACTTTCTTATTTATGGAGGTATTTAAATGAAATTTGATACATAGCCACTTGGAATAGAAGCAAATGTAGCGCCAGTTTCCAAATTTGGTTTTGCACATACTATACCTAGTCATACCCAGGACCTCGTTTTCTGTATTTGTTTACACGTTTCTTTATTTTTCAAAATAGCTTAGAGTGTGGAACAAACAATTAAAATTATTTAAAAAAACGTTATTAGGATTCTCCGTAGCCTTTACAGCAACCACATTTATCAGTTCATTTGATATCTTTCTTAGTTAAAAAAAATAATACTCAGGCATTGTACGTTTTCCAAGATGTGTAATAACCTTTCCAAAGACGATCAGAAATTGAGTATTGTTTTGTCAGATTCTTAGGTCAGTATGGGTTGTGCATAAGGGGGTTGTTGGCCTGGTGGGTTACTTTAAAAATCAGCCATTTGATATTTAAAGAAACAGTATTTTTTATTTTTTTGATCTCTTTAATAAAAAAAAAGTTTTTAAAGGTCCGCCTTATTGTATATTAAACAGCGGTTATTAATTAGAATGCATTGTTGAAGTTATATTCAATTACTTTTTTATTTTCAAATTTGTTCAAGGGCTATTAAATTATACAAAACTAGAAGGCGGAAGCACTATTACAAACATTTGAAAAAAAAATTAATTCGAATAGAGTATAGGGACCCTAACGAAACGTTTCCGACTCTCAGGTTATTTTTTTTTGTGTAGTAGATATACATACCTACAAGATATACACGTTAATTGATTTTAAAATCTTCATTATTAAATAAATGTTATCATATTATATTACGTATAATAAAACGAGGTAGCGTGATTATGATGATCACAATAACAGTATTAAGAAAATAATTACCGATCTAATAATATTGAAATATAAGAATGAACGTTATCGCACTACTTATTTCAAAACTTCTGAACGAATACCATGCAAGTTTAGTGGTGAGAAGAAAAACTGTAAAAGCTGGCGTCAACTAGAATCGACGAGTCAACTAGAATCGAATTGCAAAAATAAAAGTTAAATTTCAGAATTTTTGCATCAAATTCATGTGTTGGGCATTGAGATAATGCTATTAATTTTGTTTCCAATGATCTTGG